CAAACAGAAAGTGTGTAATCTGTGAACTGTTTGTGAATTGGCTTGTAATATCTTGTCTTTGCAGCGTGGCATAAAATGCATTGGTGAATATCCTGGGGTAGGACAACTAAAGCTTCTGAATAATTGGCATAGGCAAACAAGCTGCAGGTCTGTTTGTGAATGCGCTGCTGTTCATGGTTTAAAGAAGTCCTTCCCTGGCTGTTCTTGACTTTAACCATACATCTACTTATAGGGTCTCCTGCTAGACAAAGGGCTGAACTAGAAGGCCTTCCAGATCCCTTCAAACTCTGTTCTGTTATTCTGCTTTTTGTTCAGAAGCTGCACCTAGACCTGAGGCTACCTTGCAGTTGCAGTCTCCTGGCATCCTCACTTTGAGGGAAGCCTGCTTCAGTTATTTGAGATTGAGAACTATGTTCTCTCCATGTTTTCTCTAATCTCAGCAGCTGAGCAACTATCTCATCCAGCGACATTTACTTCGTCAGCTGCCTTCAAAGAGGAATGAAGATCTGCTAATGTATTTTCATCTCATCATCAAAAGAATGACCTAGATTTAAAGTCCTGAAGCCCACATTTTCTTTTTATGAGAAAAAGTTTATTAAGTAGTTATTTGAAAGCTTTTTGAAAGCAATTTAGTGAAATATTAGAAAAATAACCTGTATTAATAGGGCTTCCATGGGATAGCTTGATGGAAAGGAAAGATGGACAGCTGTAGGTAGCAGCTTCCATGTAAATTAGAGATTGTACAACCTTAGTTTCCAACCTGCCTAAAAGGTATTTTGATTACAACTTAGGTTCCTTTGTGAGAAAAAAAAATAGTGGCTCTTCTCTATTACCTTGTTTTGTAGAAAAAGAAGCAATTTAGTGTATACATTTGTTCTAGCGGCTTTTCTGGTGCGAAGTTGTGCCTTATATTGCATTTCAGTTGATATTGTAGTCTCAAGAAACAGCCTGCCTTTGATGTTTGCTTTCTATTTGTCTTATCTTGATCTACTTGTGCCTTGATATTATCTTTATTTTCAATTCCTAAATTTGCTTTACATACCCATGCCAACTGCATTCTGCCTAGAGGGTTGCAAATTGTGCAGCCATTTTGTTTATTTATGTAGCCTTTTATTTATTTTCTTTCTTATGCACATAATTTCAACATAAAAATATAATCCTGTAACAAAAATTATTGCATATATGTCCAGTGTATTCTCCTGGTTTGATTATATTATTGTGCTACTGATTACTTGTGAATAGGGTAAGACCTTTTTGTTATTATAAATAATTGTTTTTCTTTATGCTATCATAAAAGTGGAACGTTCAATTTCTTGCAAATATTTTGTATTTATTAGCAGAACTGCATGCAAGTAAGAATAAATTTAATAGCCTCTTAAATGTTTTTTTTCTTTTTTAAAGCAGCTTTGCATTATCATGACACAAGCCCCGGGCCTTTGTAAAATTGCATGGTGAGTCTACATTGCTAGTATTATTGCAACAAGTAATATAATAGAAAATTAAGCCTGTGGGCTCTTCCAGAAAGTTAATTTTTCTGCCACTAGCATGATCCATACTCCCATCATTCCCACAATACTGTAAAAAGGTAGAACTCATACCAAATGGATTCCCCCCTTCTACAAATGTGAATTTTCTTCAGAAACTGCTCCATTTGTGGTTATTCAAATATCAAGTGTTTTCATTCAGAAATATTGTGAGATGTGTTTGTAAGGAGTGCATTCTCCAAACCATACTGTATTAAAATGGATCTTGTCACATCCACCTTAAATAAAGTTCAGGTACTCAGTTGCTTCTCCTCTTTACTTATCTGCTTATTTCCAAGGAATTGTGTATTTTTATGATAGACAAATAGATGGGAAACCAAACATGATTTTTCCCTCATTTTTTGATAGAAATTAATCCACCATACAGTACTGACATTAACATCTCCCACACAGATTGGTTCACAGATTCACAGACTTTGAACCCATTTCTTTTCTTGAAAAATATGCTTGTTTTGGCAAAAGAGACACATTCTCAGAGACTGCTCTTTGGAATAACTAAAAACAAAACCCCAGATACCACAGGATCATACTTCCTCCTGACTAATTTATACCTCCCTTAAGTATGTGTAAGCTTGATAGTGTAAAATTGGCTATATTCAAATATTTTTTCCAAAAAGGCCTTTCTACTAGCCTCTTACCTATATTTTGAAGTATTTACATTTAAAAGGAAAAGTCTTATTAATACTTTTCCTTAAAATATATTTTAAGAACATCAAATTACACAAAACATATCAAATGAATGAAACTTTATTTAGAACTATACACACAATATACACAGAGCTACCTTTTTTACGGTTGATTTTTATTTGATTAAGAGAGGATTTTCTCTCAATAAACAGATATCAACATATACACGGTCAGGGTTCCAGACCTGACATACATTATTATTAAATTATTATTCCTTAGAACGTCAACAGAGAGAGGAACAACTGAAATAGCAACAATCTTTTGTGACCTATTTTCCATTCCTATGTAGGTGTGTATAAGTCTCCTTGTAGCTAGCTTTAAAAAAGTGGTACATTTATTAGAAATTAAAATTTAAAAGACACAAATTAAAAGAAATGAATAAGGAAAAATACAAAGTGCAGAAAAGAAAAAACAAGCATATATTTAAGGAATATGTAAAGAAAATAAAAAATTAGATGACAAAGAAAGGAAAAAATATAATAAAGGTAAATAAAGGAGTGGCTTCCTCCTTCATCACATATGAACAATTTTAACATCTTCCCTTAAAATACAGCAAGTGCTCTCTTCTTCCTATATCTTATCTATGAAGAAGTTCTTTAAAGTCTAATCTTTCAGTCCTGATCAGCAAAAGTTAATTAAGGGTTACCAGAGATAATACTATATCTATTTTAATCTTGATCAAATAAACCAACTTCCTTTTAACAATCTCGATCTTTAGTCCTGTCAAACAATGTCCTAGAAGTTTATTTCTTTTCATTTTTATTTTTGTCCCTTTTCACAACATTTTTCAAAACTTTAATAAGACTTTTGTAAATTCAATATAGAAAAGTTATTCAGGTGACTCTTTTAGTTTATCATTGGTTTCTCATGTTTTTAAGAGAATTTAAAAAGCATTTTCCCACAGGAAGAATTCTTATAATTAATTCCAAAATCTTATTTCTAAACATTCTGATTCCTTAGTCAATTTGAAATTTTCTTTAATCAAAGTTCCAGTCACCCCTTTTTTTTATTTATTCCAAAATACTTAATTCTTAGACTTGTACTTTCTCTAAGGATTGAAGGAAACTCATACAGTGCTATAAAACCTGCTTATCCAAGGTTCCTAATAGCAATAGCACTTAGACTTATATACTGCTTTACAGCCCTCTCTAAGCGGTTTACAGATCCAGCATATTGTTCCCATTAAAGCAGTTAACAAACAATTTCCAAAAGTGATTAGAAAAAGGAACTATGCAAACCCACTGTTCTTTTGAAGGCAATGAACACAGTTTGAGCAAAGCTGGCTTTCCTGCATCTCCCAGATCTCTAAACACTCCAGAGACTGTTCTTTTGTGGCCTTCTCATAGGAAGCAATTGTGTGGAGCATCTCTCAAGTCTGTTCTTTGTCCAGAGAGGAAGTATGAAGAACTGGTCTACTCACTCTGCTGCAGTCGTGAAAACGGAGCCAACTGCAATTCACATTTCTTCCCCCAAAGTCCCTTGCTTTTAAAAATTGTGGAGAAAAATTGCATTTTGAGCTTCACCACCAAATTGCCTCACGCTCTCCTTGGAGGACACAACTAATCAGATACAAAGCATTTCCTCTTGAAGTTTAATTTTGTTTTTCTCTAAAACAGCACTCGGGATGTACCATAAATCACAGAGTCTCCTGCTCTCATTCAGCTCCAGCTTGGGGCAGGGTGGGGGGCATTAACAAAAGGTGTGCCCCAAAGATGGAGTTATTTGAGCGAAGGAAAGGTTTTCTGTCTCATATGCTTGCATGCATGCAA